ATATTTATCTTAATTTCGATTTTCAAGGAGTTTATTTTTAGTTTTCAATTTTTAAAAAATTCAATCGAAATCAAACTGAAATATATTCGATTAATATTAAAATCGAAAAAATAAAAACCAAAAACTATTAAAACCGAACCGAATTCATTTTTTTTTTGTTCAACTTTCGAGTAACCCATCAGTTCGATTTCAAATGCTAATCAATTATTTTTTTAATAATATATTATATTTTATCACATATTTTATTATATTTTATCATATTTATCTTACTTTCGATTTTCAAGGAGTTTATTTTTAATTTTCAATTTTTAAAAGATTCAATCGAAATCAAACTGAAATATATTCGATTAATATTAAAATCGAAAAAATAAAAACCAAAAACTATTAAAATCGAACCAAATTCATTTTGTTTTGTTCAACTTTCGAGTAACCCATCAGTTCGATTTCAAATGCCCAGTCTTAGTTCTCACGTTAAAAATGAGAGAGAGAGAGAGAGAGAGAGAGAAATGATATTTTTATTCAAAATTCAATTCGTCATGGTTTGAGCCATCTGTGATTTTATTCATACGCAAGCTGGTGAGAAGATGGTTGAACAATTTGAGGTTAATTGTTGGTAAAAACTTTCCTTAGCTTCTAAACTTATTCCAATATAATATTTAAATTCTTAAATTAAAAATAAAATAGCTAAACCCTCCAACTCTACTAATTATGTAAATATATCTTTTTCACAAATGAGTCAAGCGGTATTTCATATTTAATTTCACTTTGAAAGCATGAACACTTATGAATGAGAATGATTTATTTATATCATTAGTGGAATTGAGGGTTTATCTGATTTATTTTTAATTTAGGGGTTTAAATGTCATTTTTGGGTAAGTTTGATTGCTCAAAAAGAGTTTTTGCCGTTTAAATTGTCTAGCGGCCCCAACGATTTCTCTGCCCGCTTCGGCACAGAACTTTGCACGCGGATCAAAACCGTCGCACATTCTACATTGGCAAGCACAAAAACAAAATAAATGATATATCATTAAAAAAAATAAAATCACAAGACAACTTTATAATTAAATTTGTTAATAAATAAATATTATTTTATAATTTAAATTTATAATTTAAGTCCTAAAATTAGTAAATAAAAAATTTTATTTTTTTAAATTCATCATATAAATATAAAAAATGTGCTATTAAAATTATTTTAAAAAATATTAATTTCAAGATGCAA